AAATGCAAAAAATATGAAAATTTTGCAGTCTTATGTACTCTTGACTGTATATATATATGCAGTCATGACGTACACTATTTCTTATATTTTATTTCACGCTCTTTCATGTGACAATATTTTACTTTTCATTTTAATTTTTCTTTATACTCTTCCACGTTACAATATTTAGGCCTATTTGATACCAATTATTATTTTTACTTTCATTCTTTTACTCATTTTCAACCACACATTATTTAATAAAATAATATTTTTCATCACATCAATAACTTTTCATTCATTTTTAACTACACATTCTCCATCAATCTATTATTCAATAATACATTATTTTAAAAGAATGCGTCCCAAACACGCACTTACACTCTAGTTTTAAATTTATCAACACAAATTTTATCCCAACTGGTCAACAATGTTTTAAGCGTCGTCGTAAGTATAGCTTTATTCATATATATATATGTGCCATCCAACAGCCATATTCCCATCGCTTACACAATTTCTTCAACCTCTACCTCTGCGATTTTTTCGATATTTTTTGCTTGATCTGCTTTTCGCATTTGTAAAGGTTAAGAACAAAGGAGAAAGAAATGGCTTCACAAGCGAAGAATGTGGGAATTCTCGCCATCGAAATCTACTTCCCTCCCACTTGCATCCAGCAGGTCAGATATCTTGTTTAAGCATAAACTTATGTACTGCACATATAATTTTGAAATAAATTGTTGTTTTCATTTGTTTTTCTTTATGGGTTTTGGAAATGTTTTGGAAGGATGAGGAATGATGCAGAAAAATATGGAAAAAGGAAAGGAACATATTCTGGGGTTTTCTCCATTTTTTGTTTCGACTTACCCACCTTATGATTTCGATTTGTTATAGTTTGATTAATTAAAACTTTTTGATCCACTGTTGGAGCTCCTATTTTGTATCTTTAGAATTTTAAAATTTGAACTTCGTTTTGCCCATTTTTTGCTTGTTTAGTCAATGTTAGAAAAGGAAAAAAAAAACCTCTCGACTATTTTTTTTCACGATTCTAATTGAAAATTTGAAAACTTAATACTGTTTTAACTCTACACTCAGATGAGTAAAGATATGATTTTTTTAGCAAAAAACTATCGTACTTGCTGCAGGAAGTGTTGGAGGCTCATGATGGAGCAAGCAAAGGGAAATACACAATTGGGCTTGGCCAAGATTGCATGGGGTTTTGTACTGAGGTTGAAGATGTCATTTCGATGAGGTACTAAGTCTATATTTGATGCAAAATTTACGAGCTGCATGAATTGTTTGCCTGGTTTAATTTCGATATTGTATTTGATACTCTGCATCTGCGCTCGAACTCTATGTTTTATGGAACGAGAAGGATAAGAGAAAGGAAATACAAGGGTCGAACTACCATACATATCTTTGTGAATGACTCGTCAAACTTATTGATAGTTATACAACATAATTGCACTATCTTGAAAGAATATAAGCTGCCCTTTAGGTGTATGAAAGCAATTGTTGCATTTATATTTGATCGTCTGCAATTCAGTCTGTAAAGTCGTGTCTGTGTTGTAAAACAATTTGTTGTTTTTAAAAAATAATATGAAGTGTGTCCTTTTCAAGTTAAGCAAGGAAAGGTTCAAAATTACCCATTTATATGTTGCTGAACCTTGGCATCTGCCCTTTATATGATTATTAATTTTTGTGATTTCATTATGCACGCGCTCTCTTTATTTTACACGTCATGGCAAAAGTATGTGCTGCTTCTCAGTTTCTTTATATGTTGTTACCTTGCTGAAATATCCTCCTGATGAATAATTAAACAGAGAGTCATAAAGAAATTTGCAGACAAGCTTTCCGATTGACTTGCTTTGTGAAATTCTTAAATACATTATTTTATCTTTTATTCATTTTTTTTACTCCTTCTCTGAAATGAAACTTGATGAATAAAAATTTGGTTGTAGATTGTTTTTGTCCTTGTATTGATAACATTGGCAACAACAAGTTACTTGCATTTATTAACTCTTTAACCTTCAGTTTGGCAGCTGTACTAATAATATTGACAATAACAGGTTAATTTCATTTATTTACTCTTTAACCTTCAGTTTGACAGCTGTTAGTTCTCTTCTTGAGAAATACGGGGTTGACCCAAAGCAGATCGGTCGTCTGGAAGTTGGAAGTGAGACTGTACTAGACAAGAGCAAGTCTATTAAGACATTCTTGATGCCCATCTTTGAGGTATTTAAGTATGCAGTCTGTGTTTTGCATTATTGTCATTAGCAGTTAGTATGTTGGTGCGCTCTGTTGGAACATGAATTACTGGAATACAATCTCTATTGTTGAACTGATGATCTAACTGAGAGTCTTCCGTTTGTTCTCTTGTGAACAACCAGAAAAGTGGAAATACCGACATAGAAGGTGTTGACTCAACCAATGCATGCTATGGGGGAACTGCAGCTCTCTTCAACTGCGTCAATTGGGTGGAAAGTAGTTCATGGGATGGACGATATGGGCTCGTTGTCTGCACAGACAGTGCGGTATGACCGTTATGTTTATGCATTTTCCATATCCTTGATTTGCCTTTACTTTAGAGAAATGCGAGCAGACAAGCTTTTTTAACTGCCAAATGACCGGAAAACCACATTTTTTATGTTGCAACGATCCCTATAATTTCCATTGCCCTTTCTCTATAAGCTGGATCATTTTTGTACTCACTTAAGGTTCATTCATAGCTTAACTTTTCCCTCTGCTGGAATGTATTTATTTTACTGCTCATCCAAAAACCAAGTGTTGATTAATTTTTCAGTAGAACACTTTTGATTGTGCTTATGGGTGATTGCCTTACCAGTAAGCTTTGTTTAACAGGTCTATGCAGAGGGGCCAGCCAGGCCAACTGGAGGAGCTGCAGCTATTGCCATGCTAATAGGGCCTAATGCTCCTATTGTGTTTGAAAGCAAGTTCAGGGGTAGTCATATGGCTCATGCCTATGATTTTTACAAGCCTAATCTTGCCAGCGAATATCCAGTAATTCTCATTCTTAACCCATCTACTAATTTCATTTTCACAAGCCTAATTGTCACTGCTAATAAAACAAACAAAAACATGGGAGTGATGTTTTGTAAAATATGTGTTGCTACTTCAAATCTTCTACATTATACTCTGTTCAGTTCTGATATGGTTAAAATCACGTTTATAGGTAGTCGATGGCAAGCTTTCTCAGACTTGCTATCTCATGGCACTCGATTCTTGTTATAAAACCTTCTGTAACAAGTAAGCTTCTGCTGAGATAAAGTGTTAATTCTCTTTAAATTATTTGGAAGAACATAAAGATACAATCGGATGCTTAAACATTTTGTATATATAGGTACGAGAAATTGGAGGGCAAACAGTTTTCAGTTGCTGATGCCGAATACGTTGTCTTTCATTCCCCATATAACAAGGTAATTAGTGAGCAGTGATGGAAATTTAGCAATAGTGCCCTTTAATAAGTAGCTTTATTTTTTTTCCCTCCTTAAAGATTGATCAATTGCAAAGTTTTTGTTAACATATTACCTCATATCCCGCAGCTTGTACAGAAGAGCTTTGCTTGATTGGTGTTCAATGATTTTGTAAGGAATGCCAGGTAGATATTTTCTTCATCATTCGAGAAGCACTAATTATTAAGGGTTCCACTTTGTATTCATTTCTGCATATGTATTTGGCAGCTACATTGATGAGGCTGCTAAAGAAAAGCTTGCTCCATTTTCGTCTTTAACTAGCAATGAAAGCTACCAAAGTCGTGATCTTGAAAAGGTTTGTATCACTCTAACGCGCACTTTTCTTCCTCATTCAAATTTGTCGATAGTTTGGTGGTGAATGTGTGGAAGATAAGTGTTCTCCAGAATTTATATCTGGTAATTTATGAACATCTCTGAGCTGATTTATTGGATCAACAGGCATCTCAGCAAGTTGCAAAGCCCTTTTATGATGCAAAGGTGCAGCCATCCACTTTAATTCCGAAGCAAGTCGGCAACATGTACACCGCATCAATCTATGCTGCATTTGCGTCTCTGCTTCACAATAAAAATAGCACACTGGTAAAGTTATTAACTCCATGTTTGCTCATCTTCTAGTGACCATTTGCACTTACTAAACGTTCCTAATTATTTGGTTTTTCCCTTTTCACTTTTCTTTAGGCTGGGCAGAGGGTGATCTTGTTCTCCTATGGTAGTGGTTTGAGTGCCACTATGTTTTCAGTCCGTTTTAACGAGGGTCAACATCCTTTTTGCCTATCCAATATTGAAACTGTCATGAATGTTTCAGAGAAGTTGAAATCAAGACACGAGGTATGCTTATTTTAGTTCAATTATATTCTCACAAATCTATTAATCGATTGAAACTTTTATTGATAATACACGGCAACAAGGGGAATTGACAAATTTTGGATTAATTTAGGACCACTTAGTGGTTGGAGATTTTTTACATAGACATATAGAGGCTCGAGTGACACAATCCAATTACAAGTAAGAAGAGAGACATGGGATGTAATTGCTAAAAATCTAGTTAGTGTATCAAGTAATGAACTGGAAGGAGGATTTAATAGCTGGTTCCAAACTTGTTGAGAAGAAATTCGAGAGGGTATCTGGGAAAGCTTAAATTATAGTTTAAGATAGTCAAACATACTTCATATCAACACATTTCATAGGACAACTTATAAATACTTAAAAGCACTCCCAAACAAAGCACTTAATATGTTTCTTAGTACGACTTATGATAAACACTCTTTTGTGCAGTTCCCTCCAGAAAAATTCGTTGAGATCATGCAGGTAATGGAGCATAGGTACGGTGCCAAGGACTTCGTGACAAACAAGGACACAAGTCTTTTGGCGCCGGGCACATACTTCCTTACTCACGTTGATTCAATGTATCGAAGATTCTATTCCAAGAAGCCTTTTGAGAATGGCTCACTCGCCAATGGTCACTAAAGAAAGATAGTGACGAACCAGTGCGTGATGCCATGATATTGGCTCGTGTTTTTAGCATGTAGAAGAATAAACAGTTACATGTCCATTGATTGATACAAACTTGTAGTTTCTTCTTCTGTTCTTTTATTTTTCTCTTAATTTATATTTGTTATCTCTATGACATTAAGAATTTAAAGCATTTTTACTCGTCAAATAGTGCGAATCATCTAAGTTATGTGCATCAATGCAAATCGAACACACCTTAACATAAATCTGGTGATTCCGAAGAATAAAGATCGGAAACTGGAAAAACTTCCACTTTTTATATAATTCCATAAATTATAAACGCAACAATGCACTCTTAATCTGGACTCTGATCATGAGGCCACTATTTATTATGGTGAGTAACGAGGCGCTGCACATTCGAACCAATTGAGGCTGAATCAAGATATCACAGGTTCGGAACAAGGTTAAATATCAACTAAACAAGAGAAAATTAGAGATGGCAACGAGACGGGTTGGGATCAGCAATTTCCCGCCCCCATTACCCGTTTAAGGTGGGCCCTTGCCTCATTTGCTACATCGTTTAATTTTTTCTTGATAATTCTTTTTATTGTCCCTATTCATTAAAGTGAAACAATAATATATTTTTTAATTTTTATTTATTTTTAAAAGTTAAATTATTCAAATGTATTTGGTAAACTAAGATTTTTATTGTTTGTCATAATTTTTAGATAATTTTAGTTGCTATTTTCTATTAAAACTAATGAAATTTCGTGAAATTTTTCATTTAAAATATTGAATTCTAAAAAGAGGAAAAAAAAGATTAAAAAAAAAATCAAAAGGGGTGGGGCACCCGTTACCCGTACCGCCCCATCCCTGACCCCGAATACGCGATTAAGCGAGTAATTCCCGATCCGTTCAGAGCGAGGTCCCGTGGGTATTGAGTTTATCGGGTTTTTTTTGCCATCCATAGAGAAAATCATGTGATACAAAATGCAATCACTTAAAATATAAGAGAGAATTGAAATAATAACTAAATGAATAAAATTAAAATAGTTTGAGACGTCCTCACCATCTGACATCCAATTGTCTGGTTCTTATTTCTCATGTTTGGGTTCCAGCATTCCACAAATGACTCCACTAAGGCTCGACTTCAGTAAGGGATTCTAGAAAGTATGTCAATGAACACAGCATTCAATAAGAATTCGAAGAAATGGTATCGATTGATGTGGCTTTCATTCGAAAGACAAACCATTGCCTTCCTAGGTAGCGACTAACCACTTAAGGAATTATCATTGAATTTGCGACAATAACGTTGTTGCAAAATGACATCAAACTAAGTGGATAAACAATGTATCATATTCATCTTTTTCCTATGAAAATCTCGTTTATACTTTGTCATTCTCGAGAGACAAAGTATAGATCTTGAGTGTAGATATCTATAAATCTTTGGTGTTCGACTTGTCTTCGTGGGTGCACAACGCAGACAACATTAGGCTTCATATCCACATCAAAAAAACATCAACACGTGCTAGAAGCCTCAAGATTCTGCTATTTTCCAACTTCTCCATTCCTCTCTTTGAGTATCTATTGAACATCCAGCATCAGTCACTCCAACAAGAGGATTTTAATTTAGGGTTCAAAAATTAGGGCAAAATCGAGCAACCTCCAATTAGCTCCACATCATGCCTTTGTCGGGAGAGTTTAGTGAAGTTGATAATATCATGGGTGGTACAACATTAAGTTGTTGATTTAGATAATTCGCTGTTAAAAACTGGAATCTCAATGTACATGAAACAGAAAAAATAGAAAGAATAAAGAGAATTAGTATGATTTTTTTTATGTTTCAACATACTGCTCGCATTCAGGCCCAGATTCTTTTGATAATCAAAAGCCGAATATGTTTGCAGTACTCATAAATGGATGACAATAAGACACGAACCCGTCATTTTTTTGGTCAGATAGTCAAAAACTGAATATAGTCGAGATAGACGCAATGAGAAAACAAGAAAAAACAGTAGTTTTTGTCTTCAATGTCCATCCCCAACCACCGTCCTAGGTAGTTGTCTTGATGATGAAGATCTCAAGGCGTGTGCCAACTAGCACATCAATTACAATGCAACAAATATTGTAAAATTAGCCGGCTCACAATCAAATATCCGAAATTCTACCATATGTTCTTCCAGACATGGCATTATCATAAGGAGAACAGCAAAGGCGACGTTCTCAAAACATAAGCAGACGAAAAACAAATTCTGCTAGTTAAGCTTCTGAAAAGTACGAGGAGATTAAATAATCCTTAAACTTGTGCTATATATACCTCATTCTCTGTTAATGAAACATAAAATCACATTAGCAGTACTTAAGTGATAATGGCGAAGGGAGGATTACTTTTTCTTCTCTATTCTTTATTGCTTTCGACTCTTGTTCTCAACTGCCAATGCCAAGAAAGAAAGGTATCCAGAAATCGTCTCTTGATATTATCAACACTCAATATTTTTTACCCTGTTATGCTTTATTTTTGCGTTGTTTCTAAGAGCTGAGGCCTTTTTTTTTTTGCAGCTTCACATTGTCTACATGGGAAATAAGCCTGAAGGAGATGCATCAGTTGCATCAGCACATCATTCCATGCTGCATAAAGTACTTGGAAGGTTGTTACCCTGTTCTTACAATTAAAGTTTGACGTTTTTTATGATGAACGCAATGAGTAATTGATAATGAGAATCACAAATCGTTGATTCAAAACAAGAATGCCTATTTGAGAATGAAAAACTTCCAATATAGATTTATTTCATTCATCCATCAAGCTACTGAATCTTTAATTAGTCCTAAATAGCAAATAAAATGCACAAGTATAATAACATATAAATAAATAATTACATGAATCTTAAGACTGTCTCATCTCTTCGCTTCGCATCTTCAAATGTTTTTATAATAAATTAAGGGCATATTTGTTACACACTACTACTGGACGTAACATCATAGTAGACAGTTTTAGTTTCTTTAATACTGTTCAGTCTATGCCATTGGAGCATTTAGAACATACTAGAAAACTATTCATACATCTCCATAAGAATATAATACCAGCTTTTTCATTCTGCATTCTTGAAAATAGGAACATTTGAATCAATCAGTTGAGCATAATACCCAAGAACTAAGGCTCGCTTCACGTCTGTCTAGTTATTAAAACTTAATCCCATTTCATCTACTTTTTGGAGATGTTGAAAACTGGTAAATATTACTATTGCAGCCCTTCTTCTGCCAAAGAATCATTAGTTCACAGTTATGGGAGAAGTTTTAACGGATTTGCAGCCAAGCTGACTAAAGAGGAAGCCACAAAGATTTCAGGTGAGATATCTCAGATGTTTTTTATGCAGTGCTCAACACGACTATACAATAATGAAAAGGATTTTAGATACTAATACTATTTTTCCCTTAAATACTATCTGGTGCAATAGAATCCTCTCGTCCAAGCACTCAATTATGGTTTTAAGCTGAAAGCAAGATAAATTTATGGTTGCAGGAATGCAAGGAGTTGTATCTGTAATCCCAAGCCGACATTACAAACTTCACACAACAAGGTCTTGGGATTTCTTGAATCTTACCGTAAACAAAGTTGGAGCTCCTCAAGAATCAGATGTCATTATTGGACTCTTAGACACTGGTAAATAAAGGAACCGTTAATGCTAAAATTCAGCTTCAATTCGAGAGCATTATTATATATTGGTTTCTCAATTTATTTTTTTCATTGTTTACCTTCTATACCCTTAGGAATCTGGCCAGAGCACCCTAGCTTCAACGACTCAGGTTATGGCCCTCCACCGGCTAAATGGAAGGGGACTTGCAATTCAAATATCACCTGCAACAAGTAAGCATTTTGATATTGCTGCTGGATTTAGCTTGAAATTTGAGAAGGAACTGATGAAGATTTTTCCTGATATGACCATCTCAGCAAGATCATTGGAGCACAGTACTACAACAGCGATGGTGAGTATTACGATACAGATATCCCTTCTCCAAGAGACTCAGAAGGACATGGTACGCATACTTCCTCGACTGCTGGAGGGAACGAAGTGTCAGACGCGAGCTATTTTGGTCTAGCAGAGGGTCTAGCAAGAGGTGCTGTTCCAAGTGCAAGAATTGCGGTGTACAAGGTTTGCTGGTCATTTGGATGCGGTCTCGCAGACATCCTTAAAGCCTTCGATGATGCAATTGCAGATGGGGTTGATATTATATCAGTTTCCTTGGGAGGTGGACCAGAGGATTATTTTGACGATCCTATCGCTATCGGATCTTTCCATGCCATGAGAAATGGAATTTTAACATCCAATTCAGCTGGAAATTCTGGTCCTTTTCCCGTAACAGCTTCCAATGTTGCACCGTGGACCCTAACAGTTGCTGCTAGCACCATTGACAGAAAATTCGTGGCCAGATTGCAACTCGGAAATGGGATAATCCTGACAGTAAGTTAGAAATTGCTCTTAACCTCATTTAGCCCCTCTTTGGTTCAGTTAAAAAATTTGATTAAAATCAAAGTCAAAATCAATAATTAATTTTAACTACACATTTTATGGATTCCCAACTTTTCAACCACACATTACATCAACTTTTATCAAAATCTACTATATATTTGATTTTTTATGTAAATCAAAGAGGGGCTTAATATCTTTCATCTTCTATTTTTTAACTCATAATCAACAAAAACGAAGGGCATCTGCATTAATAACTTCGATCTCAACGGGACTTCATATCCCTTAATCTGGGGAGGATCGGCTCCAAATTATACCATCGGCTCTAGTCCCGATATTTCTAGATTTTGCCTTCCTGATGCCATGAATAATGACATAGTGGCTGGAAAAATTGTATTCTGTGAACTACTCTCGGATGGCTCTGGCATTCTATTGGCTAATGGCGTTGGCACGATTATGGCAGATCCATTTGTCGTGGATCCTGACTTCGCCTTCAATTTTCCATTACCAGCAACCTTGATAACACCAGAAGATGGCCATAAAGTTTTGGATTACATAAGATCCACAGAGTATGGACACTCTTAATTTCAGTTCTACTATATATAATATTCATTCTATACGACTTAATAATTTCCACCGTCTTTTCAGCAACCCGACTGCAACCATTTTTGTCAGTGATGCCTGGAAAGATGCCATGGCTCCTATAGTCGTCTCGTTTTCTTCCAGAGGACCGAATCCTATCACCCCAGACGTTCTTAAGGTGATAAAAATATTCTCCTCGACCAAGCACTTCATTGTAGTATTCAGTACTAATGCCTTAATGATTATCAGCCCGATATCACCGCCCCTGGTGTGGATATTCTTGCTGGCTGGTCCCCAATAGCGCCGCCTTCAGGCTACTATGACGACAAGAGGAGCACACTCTTCAATATCATTTCAGGGACATCCATGTCTTGTCCTCATGCCAGTGGCGCTGCTGCTTACGTAAAAGCCGTCCACCCGAATTGGTCTCCGGCTGCTATTAAGTCTGCCCTTATGACAACAGGTGAAGAATAATTTTATATAAAGAAATTTGAGATAAGAAATGTGTCCATTTGACTTCTTCTGACGACGCTTCTTTTGGTTCTCAGCATCCATTATGGATACAAGGAAACACCCGGATCTTGAATTCGCTTATGGATCCGGGCAAATCAACCCAGTAGCTGCAAGGGACCCTGGACTAATTTTTGATATTTCTGAGGCAGATTACATTAATTTCCTCTGCAAGCAGGGCTATAACACTTCGACTCTGAGGCTAGTCACTGGAGATAACAGCACCTGTACCAGTATAACCCCTGGTCGAGCATGGGACCTAAATTACCCTTCATTCTCGTTATATGTTTTAGATGGCCAGAAGATCTCAGCCACGTTCACTAGAGAAGTGACGAATGTGGGTGCAGCAAACTCGACTTACACAGCTAGCATTTTCATGCCTACAGCGATTAGTGTTACAGTCGACCCATCTGTCCTCACATTCTCATCTGTTGGACAGACGCTCTCGTTCTCAGTGAAGGTCGATGGACCTGCAATTTCCCAGCAGCCAATCATGTCAGGAGCCATCACATGGACTGATGGAATCCATGCGGTCAGGACTCCTCTCGCGGTCTACAACTATATCCCTGGTGCTCCTTACAATCTTGAGTCGGAAACTTCCTCTTACACACCAACGAAGAGAACTGCTTTCAAGAGTTCTTCCATATATCGCAAAGACGGAATCATGGGACATCTCAAAACACGTCCATGAATTCGTGAAGCCTCATCGTTGCCACTATCTATCAATAAAGGGAGTGTTTCCTAGGATTGCATCCTTGGACATGACAAAGTCAAGTTTAAGGAATCAGTGTTTTGAGTGCTTGGATTTGTGTTGGCAACAAAAATTTTAACTGCAGATAATTTTAAATAAACGGAAGGCTTTTAAAGTTTCTAGTCTCTCCATGAATTGTACAAAGAATGTTAATAAAACAGTTGCCTCAAAATAAACAGGCACTTCTTCCTCTTTTCACTCGTTTTCAGTTCAATTCAGAAAGATTACAACATTTCATATGTGCTCTAGAGTTTCAAGTATTCATATCAATATTTTCAAGGCGGATCACGAAATCTTGATGATTTCTCTATTTAACAAATGAGGAATTTGCTTTAAAATTGTTTGCCTTGCACCTTCCACTGAGTATATAGTCCCCACTACCAATTTTGTAGTTCAACAGACCTCGGAGTATGAACTCCTAGAAGAATCACAAGAGGATAGATTAAAAACCCCTAGAAATGCTCACCCATATCCCATCAGATTACATATTAAGTGACTTTGGCACTGGACGTTCCCAAATATATACATCGGCTAATTAGCCAAAGATTGAACCTGGAGAACGGAGCAGGGCAGCGATCAGCATTGGTGTGTTCGGTTTCCCTTTTCTAATTTTTTCTTTTTGTTGAAATTTGCTTTCATTTTTGGATCCTTCCAACAAAAAATTAACTTACTATTTTCTAACAACAATCGAACACTATCATAGCATTCACCATTCCAACAATAGTAAATCAGTGTACCTGCCTGAACCAGGGTCAAACACAAAATGAATCAAAAGAGAAATTATGAATTAGACCATTTTCACATATAAACCAATGTAAACTTTCCACTCATTTATTGACTAAAGCAACTTACACAATACAACATTCAGTACATAATCGGGGAAGTGCGTATAACGTGGGAACAGATTCACGTCGCAGAGAAATTACAACAACCCACGTGAACGACGAGAAAATAATATCCACTGACAAAATTAGAAGTTCAAACCTCTAACTTTGAAGCTACAGGTTCTTTTGATTTGGCTTGAAGACATTTTGTATGAGGGACTCCCTAATACCTAAGAGTTCAGGGAATTCCTGCTTCAGTTTGGTGGAATCAAGCTCGTTGTTGCTCCTCGGGGCAACAATTACCTTAGCCTGCTCCTCGAGATTGAAGTTCTTCCAAGTGAAATTTGGGTCTATGTATTCACGGTACATCTCCAGAATTTCATTATGGCTGACGACTCCAGGATTTGTGAAGTTCCATATCCCAGTGAAGTTTCTCTTAGCCATTTCAATGGATACTGGTAGGAGTTCGTCCAAGATTGTCATGGAGTTGGGGATGTTCACCACCTTATCATACCTGGAGATCTTCGTAATGAAGTTGCGAGGATTCGACAGATCAGATGAGATTGGCATCCTAACACGCAGTGTACAGACATTCTCGTAGTTCTTTAGTAAGTCCTCGACCTGCCAAAATGACAGTAAAAGGGAACTTCCATCAAGACCACCTAAAGAGCATGAGTTCAAGTCAGTTTCTTTAGTTCTCTCCTCATCCACATGGAATAAAATAAAATAAAATAAATAGATAATTTCCATATGCTTATGCCTAATAAATGGAAACGGTGGACTCAAACCTGTAAATTAGTTACCCGCTGCAATATTTATGCATTAGTTCAAGCTCTTCAACTTCAACTATTGAAACCACACATGACATTTTACTTGAAAGAAGCAAGGAAAGTAGGGGAAAGTACTATTGTATACTAAATAAGTTATATTTTTCGTTATATAAATATTGTGGCAGCCACATTGTGATTCAGGTTCCAAAAATTTCTTTCCAGACACTTCCTGATGCATCCATACTAATTTGCTCAAACATGAACATGCCCTCAGAATTTAACTTTTGATAACTAGATTGCAACAAAAGAGCCCTGGACTCTTAACAACAATTGGAAACATATAATATAAATTGAGAAGAGCACAAAACCATATGCAATCCATGCCAGCATTGACAATTCCAGGAAATGGAACTTTTGGCTTATAAGAATGTTTAATTAAGCTTAAAAAATTACTTATAAGTAAATTATAAAATAAATTTCTTTTGTCAAGGTAAAACTAAATAAGTTACGTATTTTGACAATAGCTGCTCTCAAAATAACTAACTTATTTCTACATATAAATATGAAAAAAGTAATATTTGGGCCCTGTTTGGTACACATTATTTTTTTCATTCTCATTCTTCTACTCATTTTCAACCACACATTCTTTAATAAAATAATATTTTCCATCACATCAGTAACTTTTCCTTCATTTTTAACCACACATTCCCTATCAATCTACTATTCAATAANTCTCCATCAATCTACTATTCAATAATACATTCTTTTAAAAGAATGTGTCCCAAACACACTCTTGCAATCATTTTTGAAAACAAAAAGTCACTTTAATAATAAATCTAAGAACCCTTTGAGCTTAGCAAAACAAGCTAATATCAAACTCATTGATTCCTTACCATGTCGTAATTACACTAACTCAACAACAGAAAACAAAACATACACGTCACATTGATCAAATTTACTATAAGCACAGATTTTGATTTAATTTAACCTTTCCTTAACATTCACAAATCAGATATCAGTAGAAAAGATCCAGACTCATAACATAATATCAAGGGCCAAATATATCTTTCATATACCTTTTTTTTTTTTTTTTTTTTTT